ATTATTTGAAAAAATTACTTTTTTTGCAAAAATTGGTTATAGAAAAGTTAGCCTATTTGAAAAAAAAAAAAAAAAAAAAAATGATTGGAAAAGATAGCGAAAATTGGTTGCGAAAATAAACCCATTTACAAAAACTGGAAAAAAAGTTAATCCATTTAAAAGAAAAATTGATTGAAAAAGTTAGTAATAACAAATTTATAACAATTCTTCACTCCGGTAAATATTTAAAATAAAAGAAAAAAAGAATATAAAAGTGGTCCATCAAAAAAAAAATGAAGTGAAAAAGTTAGCTTAAAAGAAAATCAGCCTGAAATGATTAATCTACTTTTGGCCAAGTTAGCCTATTGCGGAATGACTTAATTTTAATTTTAAGTTATTTAGCAAATTCAGAATCGTGGATCACTAACAGAAATAATAATAATAATAGTAATAATACATGGAAATCGAACGATTTCATTCGAAAACTTAATAAAAATTTCAAAATGAACGAAAAAAAGAATGATGTTAATTGGGTGGATTAAATTTTGAGTGAATTTCATTGAAAGTTTATTTTAAACTAGTAAAGTCTTTGAATGAAAAAAATCTTTCGCCATAAATTTACGAATTTGTTGAAAGTTTTCACCCTGTATATTTAATTTACTTTTATTTTATTACAAAGTCTTTTTCAAAATTAATTAAATAAAGATTACATTTAATTTTTATCTTGCTGTATTATTATTTACTGGGATGAGAGTAATAGTTGTTTAATTTGGCAATAATAAAAAAGGTAGAGTTTGACCAATTTTGAATATGAAAAATACATTTTTAAAGATATCTTTCATAAATATCTTTTTTTTTTATAATACAAATTATAATTTGTCAAATATTTTATACAAAAAAAATTTTTTTATTAAGGAGTAATGGGACGAAAATTATAAAATCAATTAATTAGTTTTAAAAGAAACAATTAATAGTAAAGAGAAAGAATGTGAATTCATGTGTAATGAATCGGAAAATATAAAAATTCGATATCCATATAATCCGTTAGGGCA